GTGGAAGTGATTCCTTTTTACACATATTTACACAAGATGAATTTGAAATTTAAATCATGAATAATTAATAATATTTCCCTAAAAATTACCAAAATCTTCAATAATAATAAAAATTAAGAAAGACAACCACAAAGTTTATTGTAAAACCAGTGCACTCTGAATACATAAAATAAATGTGGTTTAATAAAAGAAACCATTAAGAATAGCACAGTTAGGATTGGCTAAATAACACAGAGGTTTCCATCTATCTGTGGGAACAATCTTAATAGGTTTTCTCAGCCTTTATTTGTGAAATCATTTCATTTATTACTACCTGCTGGCTTATTGATAGAATTGCCAGATTATTCAAAGCCTTCCCAGATTTTCATTAAAAAAAAAAACAACAAACAAACAACAAAAACACACACACACACACACAAAAACCCCAAAACCAAAAACAAAACAAAAACCAACCAACCAACCAACCAAACAAACAACAAAACAAATAAAAACATAGAAACATAGACTGGTTTGAGTGGAAAGACTTTTAAGATCATCTAGTTCTAACTCCCCTGCTATAGGCAGGGACACCTCCCTCTAGATGAGGTTGATTAAAGACCTATCTTGAGTGCTTCCAGGTCTTGAGTGCTTCCGGGAGGGGGCATTCAAAACCTCACTGGGTATCCTGTTCAATGTCTGGTCTCCGCACCCTCACAATGAAGAATTTCTTCCTAGTATCTAGTTTAAATCTACTCTCTTCCAGTTTAAAGACATTTCCCCTCATCCTGTTGCTACGTGCTCTTATAAAAAATCCCTCCCCAGCTTTCCTGTAGGTCCCCTTCAGGTACTGCAAGGCCACTATTAAGCCCCTCCGGAGCCTTTTCTTCTCCAGGCTGAAGAGCCCCAGCTCTCTCTAAGCCTGTCTTTATAGAAGAGGTTCTCCAGCCCTCTGACCATTTTTGTGACCCTCCTCTGGGCCTCCTCCAACAGCTCAATGTCCTTCTTGTGTTGAAGGCCCCAGAACTGGACACAGTGCTCCAGGTAGGGTCACATGGGAGCCAAGTAGAGGGACAGAATTACCCCCCTCAATCTGCTGGTCACACAGGACCTTGCACAATCTACTGACATTCTACCCATAACTAAAAATCTATTAACTGCTGTTCTCCAGATTCAACCCCCAAACACTGAAGACATACTGCTGTAGACTGTTTCTATTTCCACAGTGTTTCCACTGAATTACTTGAGCACTTCCAATGATTAGTAAATACAACCCCAAAACATGCCTTCAGACACAGTGAAGCACTTTTATCTTCATTTTACCAGATAAAAAGGGATAGAAAGAGGGAGCTGCCCAAAGAATATTTGAATAGACTTTTAAAGAGTCAGGCCATAAATTGAACCTAGGTCTCCTGAGCTGCTTGCTCAGCATCTTCACCACTACATTTTTTAAGAAACAAACAAACAAACAAACAGATTTTGCAGTAGTGAAATCCTAGGAATCATTCATTATATGCAAATAAGATTCATCTTTCTGTATCAGAAGACACTACACTGTGTTGGTGCTGAAATGACTGACTACAGAGACTGGGACAAAATGTATCTCCAAAGAAAAACAGTAACATAATAGCATTGCAAAAACACAGCTTTAAAAGGGCATGGGCTTACATTTTAAAGTGCTCAAGTAGAGACAATGGTTATAATAGTATAGTAATCTTGCATACTAATGATGTGATAGACTACAGTGGAAAAGATGGGGAAAACAAACCTGACTCAATCAAAATAAGCCTGGAAAAAGAGGGCTCTCCTGGAGCCAGCAGATAGGGACAGCTCTGCAGCATTACAAATGAGAAAGATGTGTCAGGACAGCATGTTATTAGCGAAGAGTTAAACTTCTACACAGAGAACAAGTACTAGTGACAGTTGTTAATCCTGACAATTTCTGGATTTGATTGATGGTAAATTTCTTGTCAAGCAGCATAACCCATACTGCTATGGTTCAGCTTTAGGTTTCTTTTCCATCAACTTTTTCAGCTCAGAAATGAAGAGATCTGACCTGCATGTCTATAAACTGATTCACTTAAACACAAATAAAATGGTACATAGAATTAATTTTTCCATTGTAAAACATTAAATATTGAAAAACTAAGAGAACTGTGGGTTTTAAAGAGTTTGGAATTACTTCAAACGCTCATCAAATATGCTAATAAATAAAAATGAAAACATGATATGGATGTGTTGCTTATGATACCAAAATTAAAGATTCTGTAAGTGTAACTATCACTACATTAATACTTGGTCACAGTTTTCAACAGAAATAATGACCATGCAGTCAAAGATAGTATGGCTAATGGAAGAACAGGAATCACCAAAATGAAGCAGAACAGAAACTCTGTGGGTTTCTGCAGTGGAGTAGACAGCCTCTGTCCTAGGACACATGCTACAGGAGAACAAAACAAACATTGTATTTAAGGAAGAAAGAGGAACTATTACTAGAACTTCTCAGTGAAATCGAATGTTTGAGTTCAGTAGCATACAAGGTTTTAACACAAAATGGAAAATAACAAACTGAATATGTTTGGGAAATGCGAGAAAACACAACGTGGATTTATCGGAATTGGATTGTGCCCAGCTCACCTGAGTCCATTTTTCCATAAGCAGCCTGATTTTTTCAGTAAAATATTTAGACTTGGTCCATACAGGACCCAGCAAACCATTTGATTACCCTACAAAAGAAACTATTAGTTAAGAAGAAAATCCTGGTAATTCTGTACAAGAGATGTCAGATTGGAACGTACACCTTGCAAAGAACATATATTCGGTTGTAAAGGTTACTAAGAATCTGTGATCAGCCATCAGACCGATTTATTTAATATCACCAACAATGTAGCCACAGAAATTAGAAAGTGGATAATAAAATTAAGGACTCAAAGTTGAATAATGCATATAATAGAAAATCAAACTGAAATGCAAACTGAAAGGCAAAAAATGTCTAAAAATCTATGAATTGCCATGCAGAAGTCACTTCCCTCCTTTGATTATTCAGTTAGTGGGTAAGTTTCCATGTCTTGCACTTTAAATGCGGAGGTGAGGTGAATACCAAAAACAGAGACTATGGAACTATCAAATGAATCTGGAAAAGAGGCAGAGTCAAGGTATTTCTGTCTAAGAGAGTTCTAACATCAACATTAAAGGGCTGGAATGAGAGCCTCTCTGGAACTGTATACACCCTTCAACACCATCTATTTTTCTGTTTTGTCAGTCTTGAGAAAGTTGGACTCAAGCTGGGAGACAGGCTGATGATCTATCACCTGGCATTCCACTGGTGACAGGTACTGCCTATCACCAATAGAGTGCCTCAAAGTTCTTCTAGATTAGTTTAGAGAGAAGAGGAATGAGAGCATGGAGATGAGGATATCAAGTAATAGAAGAATTAGAAACAAAATGATCAGAAATTAATTTTATGTAAAAATAGGAAATAATGAGGTATCCCAGGAGCAAGACATTCAGGTAAACCTTGACAAAGTTTACAGTAAATTTCACTGGGGAAAGAAGTAGGAAAAAAAATAATAATCAGGGAATCCTCTGCCACCAAACAATGCTGGGAAGGACTGCAACATGATACACAATCAATTTATGGCTTCTTTATGACTTACACAGCATGGCACCAGACTACACTTAACCTTCCCTCCTAGCTTTCTGCCTAATATTATAAACAGATGCTTCCCCTTTTGAAAACATTTGCAACAAGGGAATAATTAACCTTACGAGAATAAGACATATTTACATCTACCCTGTCCAGGTATGTCCTAAAATAGCCCAGACTCAAGAAAACAGAATTTCAATCAGCAGAACGAGAACTAGAGTCCATTCAATTCCGATAAAAAGACTGATTTACATTATATTATCTAAACAGACAGAGAATCAGGATTTCATGGCATCATTTCATTTTGCAGGAGTAATTCCCTTGTAAGCAGAATCAAACAATTTTTCAACATGTAGAACAATAATATCTTGTATATAAATTCAAAGACACCAGTGATGGCAAACTTCAGTGTAATTTGAAATTTAAAGGAAGTGCTATTATACTGCACTTCCTCAGTTTGTAAATCTGTCCACCACTTCTTGCAAAACACCACCTGCATCAGAAAATTTGACCACTTTCCTGTCAAATACCCCACCCCCTCTCAGATGATGGTATCCAAAAAAAGACCATGAAACTCAAACACAATGGGAAGAGAAAGAGCTAGTCAATAAAAATGGCAAGAGTTTACAACACCCTTAGGGATAAGAAATGAAATGTGCATTTAAAGTATGAGTAGGAAACACACAGTGTGTCAACAGATAATTTTTGCAGCAACCATGGGACATGGAAGACACAGTCCACTGTCGCTTTGAATAACTGATGAGCCCACTGTGTCTCACTATCCATGCCCTTAGTTTACTCCTTTTCCACTGCCAAGCAGTGCCTATCTGACCACACAGAGAACTCCCTCAGTAGAGGTCTCCGCTGCTTGCCCTTCTGCAGAGGAACAATTCTCTTTCACATTTGCTACCGCTTGTTCAGATAAAGACCTGTTGGGAATTTTCAATGTTCAGACTGTAATCTTTTCCACATTATTCTACAAATTTGAATGACTCCAGAATGTTACAGGTTATCTGTTCATGGTTTTGTGTTAAGGGAATATAACATTTCATGTATCTTCAGTTATACCCTAATCACCTCATTATCCAATTAAGAAACTTCTCTGTTAGTATTCAAGAACACAGTGGTCCATTGCAAACTCTTCAGTAACATTTTTTTTCTATTCCTCATCATACTTTCTATACTCTACAAGCACAACAAAACTGAAATATAAATCAATTCTGTTCATTATTTTTAATATACACCATCATTTTCCGTCCTTTCCAAAGAACCCAAGTATTAATATCCTGCCACACCAAACACAATTTTGGAACACAGATATCAGATGTGTGTGTACTGCCACAAAATCACTATTACTCATGAGCACACATGAAGAAAATGCAAACAAAATTAAAATTCCTCTTTATTTTCCACCAGAAAGCTTTACAAATATTTACTTCTGGATGAATTGTAGTGAACACTATTAATAGAAGCAGGTATCACAGGAAAAACTCCCCAGAATATAGCTCAGTTCCTATTTTATAATGTTGGTCCACTATGTCAGAGGAAAACATTGGTGATACGGCAGCAGAGGTTGAACATTCCCACCAGTGTCTCATTGCCACGTGACAGGAGGCAGCACAGGGGCACTCTGACAAAACGGCGCCTGAGATGGAAGTGTGGATGAAGCAAAGATGGGTTGCTGAGTTTCTCAGTGCAGAAAAAAAAGTGGCACCTACTGACATTCATTGATGCTTGCTGAGCAGTGAGGCGGTGGGGGGCGCATTTCAGGAGCGGCAGCTGTGGGTCACTTCTGCTGGTGCAGACTGTTACAAGAGCAGTGTGCAGGCTCTTGTTCACAGCTGATGAAAACGCACAGCTCATAGTGGTGAGTGTTGAAAAACTGATTTGTAGCTGAGAATTTGCTCTACTAGTGTCATTTTGTACTCTTCATTGTAGTGTCCACAGAAATAAATAGGAAGCATAGCCTTCAGAGCAACTTATGCATATTGAAAATAAACATTGAGGTATCAGCTATCTAGCTTATTACTGGAATCTACACTGCATGTCACAGGAGGGAATTATGAAAGAATATCTTATTTCCAAAGATAAATATAAAAACTTCAAGTACTGACACAGCTGCCAAATGAGCTGGGCTGTATTTTGAAGCCACTCATCCCCTTTTCTCACCATAATTGAGATGTTACCAGTTTCTAGTGGGAAGAAAAAAAAAAAAAAAAAAAAAGGAAATTTTGGATCCAACAGGTGACATTTTTTGTAAAAAATGTGCAAAGCACATTAGCGCTTTAACTGCTTTGACATCCTCCAATACTGTAATACTAAATAAAATGTGTTGTTGTTCATATTACACATGCTACAGGAAGAAAAAACCCTGCATAGAGAAAATGGGTAATCCACAGCACAGGAAAAAAAAAAAACGTCCTCAAAGAAATCAGGAAATTTCACTTCATGATGGCCAAAGATTGTATCCAGTATTGAAGAATGCATCCAACAGGGACAAGAATATCCTAACATACTCCCAAGTTTCTTGTACCCCTTTTGATAGCAAAGTACTGTAAAGAAGTTGTACTAAAATGAAGAGCAACACGTCAGTTGTATGCCTCATCTTTATATCTCAGATTATGTTAATGGCATGGGTAGGGGAATATGCTTGTGAGTCTTATGTTCCTATTTGTTAGGTGTCCAAAGAACAACATAGGAACAGGGTATTGTAAGTGGAAAATTTTGTTATTATCACTATATTTTCTCAAGCTGCACAGAAAACACACAACACAAACCTGAGTAGCATTTTTAACAGTGATAAAGGCTTCCATATAATTTGCTGAGAAACCTTGTAACAATAACACAAAAACAAAAACAAAAAAAGGCCAATTTCTCCTTCAGACACAGGTATCAAATGATGTGGGGCAGAGGGATTCATGCACACACTTATTCTATATTATTACTAAAGGATGCATTCTGTCTCTATTAGGCTGTGTACAGCTCCACTAAGGTTAGTTATATAGATCCTGGCTCTGCACTTCAAAAACACAAGAACAGCTCCTTCAATTACTGTCAGTTTAGGCATACAACGATCTTATGAGCAAGTGATATCTTTGATAGCAGCATATTTCTGAAGACAGTATTTTTGCAAGCAATCCTATGGCAGGATGCTAGCTAGCCCATGATACTGTTACTTTCTCTCCCTGTGAGGCTTTCTTTTTCTTTATTACATTAAGTTACTGCTGCAGACATATTCTCATTTTGTGTCCTTCACCAAAGGAACTGGAGGCAAAAGTCTCATTGATTTAAGACCTGAGGGTAAACTAGTAATCCCAGTGCTTCAGGAACTCATTTGGAAGGGAGACTATAAGGTCTTTAAGGCAAAAAGATAAAGGAAGACCAAACACACTGAGTTCACACAGATTGTATCGACTCCAGAAGGCCCCTTCACGTTCTTTGTTTTCTCTTTTGATTTTACACTCCACAATAAAAACAGCCGACTATCCCAAAGAACCCAGGCCTATTCTAAGTCCAAAGGCATTTTCAGGTGAATTGATGCTGTAAAGTCTCTAGGTCCTTATATCCATCAGAATTCCCAAAAGGTAAGTTAACGTGATGCCATTTCCACTACTAGGGTCACTTTCCAAGGCAAAGGCAATGCCTGGCTGGTTCACAAAGCTTCTTGGCAATCTTTTCCAGCTTTTTTTTCAAAGGGGCATCACCAAATATTCAAAAATGTTTGCCAGTGATAGTACATGGAACAAAATGGAGATATGAGGAACTGTCTAAAAGAATAAGCAACTATAAAACTGTTATTTATAAAATTCAATACCAAGTACCACTTGACTCTTTACAGTTCCCTGCACGTATGAACAGATCATTTGTAGAATACTCCACAAAGACAGCAGGTCCTCTCATCCCAAATGATGACACCTGTGACAAAAAATTTCCTATCTGGTGAAGCCCACTGAATCTGCCTGTTCAAGTTATGCAGAAGCCACAACTAGAAATAAATTTTCTGAATGCTTTTCTCTGGTCTCTCAAACAGTCTGGATGTTAGCCCTGGATAATGCCTAAAAGCTTTTGGAAACATTAGCCCTGTGCTCTGCACATCATGTGTATTTATAGTGCACAATTAATAACATCATAGCAGATACATAGTAATGTGAGTAACAGCTGACAGACCAGTAGCAGCAGGTTACGTGAGCAAGGGGAACACTCTCTGAGACTGCTCTTGGCTACAGGACCTTTAAGAACAATGTGGCAATGCCAGCTCTCTATCTCAATGCCATCCTGTGCTCCCATTTTTTCACCCACCTTGCACCTTTAGCTGCCTGATCTCTTGGTAGCTGAAGAAGTTCCACTCAAACAGATGCAGCAAGAACTGAAAGAGACTCAGAGCGACACACAGAAACAAAGCAATGCTTATGCATTTCTCAGGCAGATGATGAAAGGTCTCAGTACTAAAAAAGCCATCTCACACTCCCTGCAAGCTTCGGCATCCTTACTGAACTTCAGGCTCCCCTGGATGCTTTACCCTTCCATTATCCGTAGAGAAGGGTTGCTTTTCTCACAGGAGTGCGTATTCACAATCGAAACTGTTTTATTCTGCTTCTCTTGTATAGATCTATCTGGGCTTGAGTACTCATGCGTGGCCAAAGCCACACATTGCTCACAGAATGCACCACAGACCCTTTCCCCCCCACACTGCCTATGCAAGGCTACAGCTTTGTCAAGGCACAAAACCTCCATGCAGACATTCCTGGCTCCCAAGGCACAGAGGTCACTATATAAAGGGTGGCTATCTCCATGCCCCTCCTAAAATAGGCAGGTATCCTGTGAGGATGCTAAGGAAGGGAGAGACCTCTTCAGTCCAAGATCCTATTCTGGAGATAACACCAAATGTTCAGACTCAAGCACATCTTAACTTACTTGAAACATTAAAAAAAAAAAAAAAAAAAAAAAGTATTTACCATAATTTTTGCTCTAGAAGTCCAAATGGTTAGATGTAGAAAGGGATGGATAATGCAGGGGACACTCTTCTCCCTTCAAGTGAATCTATACCTCCCATAGACAAATAAGAAAGACCATCATCCAGTAGCATAAACTCAGTTATATCTGATTGTGTACTGCTGTGGAACTGGGGTCTTGCTGTGTGTTGCTTCACTCAGCTCATGAAATATTTCTGTAATGGTAACAGACCATTTGTGAAAATGAAGTTCAGACTAGAGTACAGCAGATCATGCAAGGGTAAGCACTCGACTGAAGGCAATTTGTCATGCAGAAGTTCTGCAAAGAGAACTATGTTTTCAGAGTACCGCTTAAACTAAGCCATCTTCTCGAGGACCCCAGTCAACCCGCTTGTACTTAATACATTTTTCTTGTTGGAAGCAGCATATGTTTGCAAGGACATGGCTGTAGCAGCCAATGCCACATCCAAAGCAGAATGAGAAAGCAGAGGCTTTTCCACCCTGCCCCTGAGGCCAGGACGAGGGAGGGCTGTAGGAAGGTAAACAAAAGGAAGTGCTCTCTTCGCGTTTATCTACATATTAGAAATACAATTTCCAGGTGTACTCCATTTACATGAAATTAAATTTTGCCCTTTTTTAATAAGTCTCTGCAACATCAACCATTTGCCCATTTGGATGGCCTGGATGATCATTAGTTACATGCCAGTGCGAGATAGTCCACTCCAAAGTCATTAATGCAGTGGTGTGATTTGGCTTCAGTGGAATCACGACACAACTGGATATGACTCAAGTAGGGCTCCATCTGCAAACAACACATAAAGAAACACGTTATGGCATTTCAGCAGCATGGAACAGCAAACAGTGCTTCATTCCAAGAATCATTCCATAAGTGAAAGTGACCAACAACTAATTTACACTACTGTCAGTTTAATTCAAGATTTCACTTCCAAGGAATGAAAGCACATCCTGCTCCTTAATTGTTTTTGGATGAAGAATCTCACTGAAGCTTGCATTTCCACCAAGATATTAAGAGCATAGAACACGCAATTAACGTGAAATACAAAAAAAAGTAAATATGATACAGAATCACTAGAACTCAGTTGTAAATTTTAATAGTGCCACAGACAAAATCACATTTGCTTTTTAAGGATCCATCCTTTTTTTCATTCACCGAGATATAACTGGATGTTCAAAAGGTTACACGTGCAGAACAAAACCACCAATTATCCTTCTTAAAATATAAGGGTAAGCTTGTAATACACACGACTTTGGCATACCATTTCGTGCAATTACTAACTACAATCTCTGATTTCAGAATGCAGAAGTAGCGATTTTCCTCCTCAAAAAGCAGCGCCCGCTTCGTTTAAGCCAACTTCTGCTGCGGGAGGGAGGAAACACGCAGGCGAGCACGCGGCGAAGGGACACCGAACTCAACAAACGCTCTTTTGGCAACAGCCATCCGTCGGCGCGTGTTCCGGCACGCCTCGCGGTGCTGCCCAGCGCGGAGGGCCCAGCAACACCCCCTCCCCGCGGCGGGGCGCGGGATCGGCGCGTGCGGGAACAAAGCCGGCGCAAGCTGCTGCCCGGCACAGCCGCTCCCACCGGGGCTGCCCTGACCGCCGGCCACGCGCAGGGGCTGGCAGCGGAGCCGCGCGCCTCCGCCCTCGGGAGGAAGGCCAGGAAGAACGCGAAGCTCAGCCCGCGGCACACACCGCGCCGCCACTCACCGCGCCGATCCGAGCCGGTGTGCGGGCACGCCAGAGCGGCCGCAGGTGCCGCGGAGGAGGAAGCGGGGGCGGGCGGCGCTGGCGAGCCAACCGGGGCCCGGCGCGGCGCCGTGAGTCACCACGGCCGCGCAGGGCGGCCGGGCAGCTGGTATAAGAGCGCCGCGGGGACGCCCTCCCCCCGTGCATGTCTCCGGCGCCCTCCTTTCCTCGTCGCCTTTCTGACCGCGGCGTCTGCACGCCCGCCCTCCCCGCCTCTCCTCCCTCCCTCTCTCCGTCCCCTCGGCGCGGCGATGCGGTCGAGCCGGCAGCGTGGAGATCGGAGCGCGGTGGCCGGCGGCGGGTGTAGGGCGCGGCGGTGGACGCTCCCGCGCTGCGGTGCGCTCTGCCTGCTGCTCGCCCTCGGCTGCCTGCTGACTGCCACCGACGGTGAGTGCGGAGCTGGGGCGCGCACCGCCGGGGTGCTCCCGCCGCTCCCCGCGATCGCTTCTTCCCTTTCACCTCTCTCGGTTGTTTTCGTGGGGCTTTTTTTTTGTGTGTGTGTGTGTGTGCGCCTTGTCTGGTTGGGGTGTGCTTTTTCTTTTGTGCGGGGGCGATTGGGGCTCCGCGGAGAGGAGGGGAAGTGCGCGGGGCCTCCGGGCTCTGCCTGCCATCACCACTCTCCGCCGCGAGGCACCGCTTCCACGGGCGGACAGAGCACGCATGGGGCGCTGCGGGTGGGCCCGAACCAGCGGCCGGCTCGCCCCTCCCCGCCCCGGAGCGGCTCTGCCGGGAGCGCCGCGGTGCCGCCGCTGCTGCGGGAGGTTTGGCGATGTCTGGCGGTGAGGGAGGGTCTCTACGCTGGGCTGCGAAGAGGGCAGCTCCGGGACGGCCCACCGTGCCGGAGGGGTTGTCAAACTACTCTGCAACTTCGGCTTGGTGGCATCCAGCAGCGCTGGCGTGGCTCCTTCGGGCCAGCTGTAACCACCATGGGGGATCTCCACCTGGCGGCGAGGTTGAGCCTTACCGCGCTGAAGCCCTCGCGAAGCGGGCCGTCACAGGTAGCTCAGAAGGTGGTTGTAGCCGGTGTCGATGTGGTTACCTCTGCAGCAATGGAACTTCAACGTTAAGCTAGTTGCATGGTCAATTAAAATCATTTTCCCTTTGACTGGAGGGGTAATCAGTGAACGGACTTCTCTCTTTCTCCGGGAGACGAGCTGCTCTCCTAGGGGGGTGGTGGGCAGTTGCTGTGTGTTGTTGTACCGCATTTGAGCTGATGGCCTGGGAGCAGTGTGCTGTAATCTCCTGACCAGCGCTCTGAAGTGCACTGAAGTGTTTGGCTTTGGTTGTGTTCTCAACACATGCTTATAGAGAAGGCTTTGTAGCCCCAGCAGTGTGCTGCAGTTTAGACATGGGGTTTGCTGGGTAGGACCCTGCCAGGAGACTGCCTCCTAGTTCTCCTACCGTAACTGAGAAGGAAGTCTGTGTTCAGACCATGTCTCCATTTCCTGATCTGTAGACTGCTTCCATGCCTTCTCTACAGTAGACACAGGCCCTTTGGTTAACAGCTGTAACACGAAGGTTGGAGTTGCTGGCACTGAGACCACTGGTGCGTGGTAGTTAGAAATCTTATGAGGAGTCAGGCATTGCAGCAGCTCTAGTCCTCTGAGTTTCTTCATTCAGTTTGAGGTGGTGGCCTCCCAAAGCAGCTCTGCTTGTTCCTCTGTGTGTGGGTTTCCCAATCAGGATTGCAAGCTTTTCTGGTAGTTGGTGTCATATGACAGCACACAACTGTCACATGTCTGGCTGGCCTCAGAGAAGTAAACTGACAATCTGCTTAAGGAGTGGAGACAAATGGTTAAGGCAGAGTTAAGAGAAAAAGCTTTGGATGTGTTAACTTAGTTGGAAATGGTAACTGATCCTTCATCCTGCTTGTAAGTTTGTTCCTCAGAAGTGGGTAACCTGGGAAACAGTACAGTGATATTTCTGACACTTAGCTTAGAAGTAACTTGTAGTTACTTGTCTTCCTCTTCCACCCAAGACTTATTCTAAAGAGGATGAAAGGTTCTGATGTATGACCAGCACATGTGGAACAGCTTTTGAATTAATGGTTGTTTGATATCAAGCTGAAAATCACTAGATGGCTAGCGACAGAAGCAGCAGCTGAGCTATGAGGCTGTTTCAAAGAATGGTGGATTAGAGTGGTAGCGTCTTGCTTAAATGTCTGCCTGGCATTGCAGAACTGTGCTTAGTGCAGGATGGGACTGAAGGTGGTGATCAGCTGGAACTTGCTGAGTGTGGCCTTCAGAGCTTGAGAGCTATCTTAAAGGAGTAGCAACAGATGATAACCTTGGTGGGTGAGTGTTTGGCTAGCAATTCCTTATTTGTTCACAGGCTGACAAAAGTAGTTGCTTTGGTAGGTCAGCTGCAAGAGAAATGGCACCTCTTTGGGATGACTCCTTGCAGTGATTGTGAAGTTATAGCTTTAACTCCCAGCTCAGCTCCTGTTCCATTTAGCTTTGTGGAGTGTTTCCCTGTTGTTTTTTTTGGTCAAAGTGGTGTTACACTGTAAGTTACAATATACTGTGCAAGCCTTTACTAAGTTATTCTAGCTTGAAATAGCATAACTAAAGGCTGTGGGAGTTATTTTGGGATCTCCTGAGTGGCAGGCTTAGTCTAATAGTGCTCTGGCGTGCTATTTTGGGAATGGTTGGCTGTTCCCACTCCGAAAGCCTGGGTAAGAACGTCTCAAAACTAGCAGGAGTCAGTCACTTTGTGTTTTAGCTAGTAATACAGAAATAACTAGAATGCTGTGTGACCAGGCAAGCAGATGTCTACTTCTGTTAGCAGCAATTGGACAGTAGAGTGATGCCAACTGATAGCAAGCTGATAGCTGTGGCCTCTGTACACGCTCAGCTGGCTGAAGTCTCCCCTCTGGCACTACTAGGCAAGCTGCTTGTTTGACAGCTGTTGACCAAGCAGTGTTAATGTTGAAAACCTTGTGTTGGAAACTGCCTGCTGGTACAACTCCCACCCTGGAAAGGAGTGATGGAAGTGAAGAGTGTATGTGCTGATGTTCAGTTGTCCTGGCACTCCTTAAACAATTCCCACAAAACAAAATGTTGCAGCTTGACTCTGTCAGTGTTTCACTCAACCAGTAAAACTGCTGAAACATCAGAGCTCAATAAGCTGCTATTTCAAATCGTTTACTTACAGCATGAATTTACATTATACAGTTGGCAAGTAAAACTGCCCTTGTTCTCTTGCTTATGCTCTGTCCAGTGCTTGCTGTTTTCTAATGCTTGAGAGCTAGCAGTATAATGTGAAATGGATTGGTTTCAGAAAGTTTATTGGCTTCCCTTCATTTGGAAACTGTCTTGCATATTGCATGTCATACACCAAAGATATAAAATAGCAAGTGGAGTTCTGCTAAAATTAGATGCCCTATCAAAGCTGTGGAAGGCCGAAACGGAGCACCACCATTACAGTAGATCAAGGAGGAGCAGGAGTTTTGCATCATGCCATAGACATGTGCAGCCAAAACTTATGTATGTACTCACAGACTTGCATTACGTGGAACAGATCTGGCTTCTCTGCTAAAGAGGCATGCTGCTGCTTTCACTGACAGTTGTGGCAGGGCTTCGAGACAAAGCATATTCCCTTGAGGGACAGGGACATACCATTTCAGGATGGAAGATATTCTGGAGAGTTCACTTCAAGCATCATGCACAACAAGAGTACCTGACTTAAGCATATTAATAATCAGGCTTAACAGTTTGCAGACAAGAGACTTAATTCCAGAAAGAAGTGATAAATTGTCTTGCTCTCTTAGCGTTATGCTAGACCTAGCTTTAATAATGAGGAAAACATACAGATATGTCATCGCACTTCCTTTTGCATCTACCAAGGAATGCCTCTGTGGACTCTTGCTCATGGGGACTCTGTTAACAGTCAGATAGTGGGAACTATCTCTGTTCATTATTGTAATTTCTGTAACTTTGGGGCTATTACTGAAGTAACTTACATGATGAAAAAATGTTGTTCAGTTATAGAGCTGATATCTAAGCCACCTTTACAAACATCTTGGGATTGTAATACATTATCTTCAGAGTACTGGAATGCCAGTCCGGTTTGAAATTTATTCATGTTTAAAAGCAGCTTGATCAAAGTCTGTGGAGGTTTTTAGAATGCAGAGACAGGCTGTAGGCAGCAGGAGCCTGCTCATGAGCATCCCTTTGCCTTGCAAACTTGACCCTGTCTTAAAAATGAAAGCTCAATATTGTGAACACTGAGACTGATTTACTACCATCTGGCAGGTAAACTGTTATACTGCTTAATCTCTGCAGTTTTACAGTGAAGGAAAACTTCTGGTTCTACTGTCGTGATTCACAAAGGTGGCAACAATAAAATAATTCATGCTTGGCATCAGCATGAAAACATCTGTTTATTGAGTATGGGATGGAACAAAGGAAATAGTGCTAAGTAGCACAGGGGCTCAGGTTCTTTTCTTTTCATTAAAGGTGCAAAAACAAAATGTGAGGAATCCCAGTTCC